CTTCTGTCATGTTGATGTTAATTTGATGGTTAAAAGTATAATTTCACATCAACCTTATGTCATTTCACGTATTCTGATATTGGTTAGACGAATAACACAAAAATAATGACTCTTATTCTGAGCTAGAATTACGACGAAAGACCACATCTGTAGACTATGGTTGTAGTTGAAAAAAGTTGTAGTTCAGAAATGACGGATCAGGAACGACCTTTGTAATTATGTATGACAAGAAAGATATATTATCATTGTAAAATTATATTGTTAGTCCTCAAATGAACACCAACGTGATAAAAGATAAAAAAGGACTATATGTGGAAAAATACACATAAAAAAGGACCATCGAGGTAATATTTGATGATAGAGGACTAAATAAAATAAATCTCTGTTATAAAAGATCAATTATAAAATTTATTCTTTTTTAATAAAGAATTTGGGGACAGGAAATGAACCTTAGCTTTGTTTTCTATCGGCCACGAAAACAAAAATAAAAACTTTTTTTAAAAGAGAAATTTATTTAAATAACAACAAAACATAATGACTTTCTCTAAATAGCACCTCATGTGTTTTTCTTCCCCATGTAGCACTTTTAGTCTTTTGCATTAGTCATTATTCAAGTAAATGTTCGTCATCACGGGACATTATGGACATTATTAAATGATATTTAGGGAATAAAACAGTTTAAGTGTTATTTAGAGAAATGACTTAAATTTTAGTATTATTTAGTGTAATATTTCTTTTTTAAAACCTGCTTTAACGGTTTTGGACATAAGGGAAAGATCGAACGCGGTCGGAAAAAAAAAGTACTTCCTCCGTTCTCAAAACCACTTCCTCTTTCATTTTTTCCACTTCCAACAAAACACTTCCTCTTTCTATTAAAAACCCACTTTTACTCTTACTTTTTCATACCCTACCTATCACATCATACTTTTTCTACTAATAATCTATCCATCACATCTTACTTTTACCCATCACATCAGAGGCAAAATTGGAAATCAACTATAATTTAACACTTCCTTATTTTTGCCCCAAATCAAAGTGGGAAGGGTTTTTCCAAACGGAAGGAGTATAAAAATGGATTAGGCATAGGTTAATCTCTTCTAATGATTAACGCCCGCTTAATCCGTTCTCTCTTTTTCATTTTATTCTTCTTTTTTGTGTGAAAGATCATTTTAATTTATTCTTTTTTCAAGGTTAATTTATTCTTCGTGATAAGGCAAGAATTCACATTATTGTCTCCTCCCTTTTTTCCCTTTTTTTTTTTTTTCTTGAAAGACTATTTTAATTTATTCTTTGATAATGCAAGAGTTCACATTTAATTTGTTACTTTGTATATATATCCTCCCTAAATGTTTATCACATTTCAAAAAACGAGCCAAAGTATCAAGCTTTTTCAATTCAGTTTGTTTAAATATTGGTATATAAATAATAAATAAAATTTACATATTTAAAAACGATATGAAAATTTTTTCAAAATAATAAGATGTGTCAATAACATTTTATTTCATGAAATAATCAATGAAATTGTACAAATAAACACAAGTTTTCGTAACTATTGAAAAAGAAAATGTGGCAAACATTTTAAGACGTATGATATTACCTCCCCTCCAAAAAAATTCCTATTTCAAACACCGTATATTTTAAAATAATTTTATTTACAAATTGATACACAAATAAAAACACAGCTTACATATTCAAAAATTATATACAAAATTTTACAAAATAAATGATGATAGTTCTAAACAGAAATTTTTTTGAGATGGAGATAGGGAGTGTGTGTATATATATATATATATATATATATATATATATATATATATATATATATATATATATATATATATATAAATTATTTCATAGCTGATTCTTCAAGGACTATTGTGAAATACTAATAAATTTAGGATTGGGTATGGATAACTGGATTGGGTAACAAGACACTCGGGTTGAACCACATTAAAAGATTGAATCCAATCGATTAGTTAGTTCAACTCAAGAGCTTATATACCGATTTATTTTCTTTTCAAGTTCCGATGTGGGATACTCTTTTAACACTCCCCCTCAAATGGACAACCGAGCCATTTTGAATCTAACCGGTTGACCACTTGGAAATGGATTCCCATCCCCTTGATTTTTTGTTTTTGAGCGCCAACACCTAAAGTACCATGAGCCGCTGGGTATGGACTTCCAGACGTGCAATTGGGTTAAACGGGCCACAGGCCGTTGGGTACATACTTCATACGGACAACTGGGCTAAAGACTAACGGGCCGCTAGGAATGAACGTCTAGACGGACACCATGACAAACGAGGTGGGCCAAAACCTGCTCTGATACCATGATAAATTTAAGATTGGGTGTGGATAACTAGATTGGGTAACAAGACACTCGGGTTGAACCATATTAAAAGATTGAATCCAATCGATTAGTTAGTTCAACTCAAGAGCTTATATACCGATTTATTTTCTTTTCAAGTTCCGATGTGGGATACTCTTTTAACAAATACGGAGTAAGATTTTGTCATATGTTCAGCCAAAAAGACTATTTATGGAATAACTTTAAAAATCGAGGACCATTTATATAATATTCTAGAGTTAGGAACTAAATATGTAAAAAAAATATGTATTTAGGGCAATTTATAAAATTTACTTTGGATCGAAAATAATGGCCTAGCTAGTTGGAGAATTACTTTTTGAATTAGGGTCAACATTTTTTGTTTCTTTTAATTGGGCACTATGTAATTAATTTTCCAATATTCCTTTCAACAACCTAAAATAAAAGGCAACCGCTATAAATTGAGCCATATTACGTACATTTCTTTTCTTTACGTATTTTCATCCAAAATTTTACTAGATAATATAGAATGTCATCTCTAATTTTTAAAAACTTTCAATATAGTATTTAATAAATAAATTTTACTTTTTTACGTCTACACTAATATTTAAATAAATTAAATCAACTATCCGTCCCTAAAATCTTTTGCTCTTTCATGTTTTACTTGTCTCCAAAACCTTTTTTTTGCCATTAAAGGAAATAAATATCCTTGTTTTTACTAAATCTATCATAACCAATCACGACGTCGTTCTATGCCATATTCTTATATTTTCCAAACTTACCTCGTATCAATTGCCGGCATACGTCTACAATTTTCCTTTCTCAAAATGGAAAAACGAAAAGTTTTTAGGGACGGAAGAAATGCTACTTTCATCATGCTAATTTGATTGTTAATTAAATGAACTTTATATTAAATATTGATACAAGAATAATTTTATTAGATTTATCTTGTAAGATATTTTGAAAATATTACCCCATAATTCATATGCCATATAATTTTATTTAAATATATGTCAAAGGTCTGGTTGATTAAGTACAAAAATGAAAATTAAAAAAATGATCTGATAGAATTTAGGATGGGGGATACTCTAACACTCCCCCTCAAGAGCTTATATACCGGTTCTTTTTCCATTCAACTTCCGATGTGAGATACTCTAACACTCCCCCTCTAGTGGACAACCGGACCATTTTGAATCTAACCGGTTGACCACTTGCAAATAAACTCTCATTCCCTTAAATGATCACGAGCCGCTGGGTATGGACTTCCAGACGAGCAATCGTGTTAAACGGGCCACATGCCGTTGGGTACATACTCCATACGGACAACTGGGCTAAAGACTAACGGGCCGCTAGGAATGAACGTCTAGACGGACACCTTGACAAACGAGGTGGGCCAAAACCTACTCTGATACCATGATAGAATTTAGGATAGGTATGGACAACTGGATTGGGCTATAAGACACTTGGGCTGAACCACATTAAAAGATTGAATCCAATCGATTATTTAGTTCAACTCAAGAGCTTATATACCGGTTCTTTTCCATTCAACTTCCGATGTGGGATACTCTAACATGATCTGAGATGAAGTATGTTAAGAGCTTATTCTATTCGTTTGATTTGATTAAATATGATATTGTTACATTATGAATTAATTTGGTCTAATATAATTTGATCAAACTATAGTTATACTTAAATATATTTATTACTCTCTCCGTCCCTTAGTATTTGTCCACTTTTGACTTTTTTAATCAAAATTGGTAAACTTTGGGCCTGTTTGGGAATAGCGTTAGCGTTTTGAAAAGGCTATCTACGGGTAGCGTTTAGCGTTAGCGTTTTCAAAGTAATCTGCACCGTCAAAATTTTATCCAAAACGCTAACGCTAATCTCTAACGTTATTCCCAAACAGGCCCTTTGACCACTAATTAAATAAAAATAATATTAGATATTGATACAAAAATAGTTTTACTAGATTTATTATATGAAATATTTTCAAAATATTATTTTATCTAATTAATATACAATATATATTTCATTTAATTACAAGTCAAAGGTTGAAAGCGATTGACTGAATTTATTTTAATCTAATTCAAATTGAAATAAATAATTAATACTCCCTCCGTCCCACTGTTTTTGTCCACTTACCTTTTGGCACACCATTCACTGCACTTCTTTAATCCATTTTATCTTGTAATTTGTATATTAAAAAATTATAGAAATTATATATTAATAATCTATATGTTAAGACGAATCAAACAAGATCACACATGACTATTTTTAGGCTTACACATTGAGAGAATTTGATGAGTCAAAGTGCTTAGATGAACAATTCCAAAAGTCAAATGTAGACAAAGACAGTGGAACAGAGGTAGTAATAAGAATAAATTGAAAACAATTTTTGAGATAAAGTCATATTTAATGAACCTTAAAAAGTGCAACATTGTCCCCATTGAAAGAAGAAAAAACCCCTTAATTGGAAATGAATTGTCCATTATTATTCAAAAACTTTTAACTTGTAAAGAATGTGAACCGGGTCCCAGCCGGTATATCCACATCCAATCACGGCATATATCCCGCGCCACACTAAAATTTGCTATTAGTCAAGTTCTTAATAATTACTCCGTACGGTGATTATATATTTACCATTATATATAAATCCCTCCACATCAGGCATTAATCATCCCAAGCCTCTTCTTCATCACGCTACGGTTAAAATAATTACCAATATTTTCCGAGTTAATTAATTAAGTAATTACATTGATTAGCGGGTAATTACTTAGTAATTACTAGTAGTAAAAAAAATGGGAAACGGTTCGCTGGCAGCAGCTTTTCTCATTTATTCTCTTCTTCTCTTCCAAGTTTCCTCAACTGCTTCCCTCCAAAACCCTCATCTTGTGGTCCAAGATGTAAACAGCAGGTAATTAATTTTCCTAAGCACCATTTAGTGCAATTAACAATTAATTGTGACAATATTTAATGTGACAACAAGGGTTATGATGTTTCGATCGAAAAAATTGATGGTTGAATGGTTACCTTAAACTCGATTCCCTGCCCCCACCTACTTCCCCGAAGCGATGAAATGCTATAGGGGCCGCTGGGGCGAAAGACATAAGGGTTTGGGGGTAAAAGGGTAGGAACCATCAATTTGGTTGATCGAATTGTCGTGGTCTTTGTTGTCATGATATGACAATTATGAATGTTATCAAACGAACCTTGGTGTATGTATATAGAGCTACATGTTTTAATTTTTCTAATTAATTAACTACTCACTCTGTTCCATAAAATAATTTCTCTTTTAACTTTTCACTCTTTCCATAACAATGTTAATTTTCATTTAAAAAATCAATTTTACCCATATTAATTCTTGTCATATCTATCAGATCATCCCATATATTTTCAGTATTACTCTATCTTTCATATCCTACTTTTATTAATCACATCGAAATATACATTCTCTTAAATTTGGCAATAGTCATAATGAGATTTCTTTTTTGAAACAGAGAGGGTTGTACTGCTTTCGTCCCAGTAAATTTATCAGTTTGAGTTTTTTTAAAGTTAAGTGGGACAAAATTTAGACTTCAACTAAATAAAAGTTGTAGTGTATACGAATAATTTCATTGTAATTAAAGTACGTAATTGAAGTTTGTCCAAAGTCAAACTCGACAAATACGAACCGAACTTGGTTCTGATACTATGTTGGATTTTTGGTGGGCCGGTTGAGTGAATCGGGTAGAGTTTTGGGTGCACGAGATTGACTACTTTGCCATATAAAATTATAATAATTCATTTTCTAATCAAAAGTTTAGCCAGTGTGTAGTGTTTGAGCCTTCTTTTTATATTTTATTGTTGTCCAATGCGTATTAATTAATGTCTATATATATATATATATATATATATATATATATATATATATATATATATATATATATATATGAATAGGAAAAATGCATCGTCCGTGGCGGTGGCCGGCGCCCCCGCACTGGGGAGAAAATTGTTGAAGAGCAGCTCGTCGTCCGGTGGTGGTAGTAAGACGGGCAACCCCATAGACGACTGCTGGCGTTCCGACCCCGATTGGGCCAGCAACCGCGGGAGGCTGGCGGATTGCGCGGTCGGGTTCGGCAAGGGAGCGAAGGGCGGCCAGGAAGCGGCCGGCAACCCTTACGTGGTGGACAACGACGGGGACGACGTCAACAACCCGGAGCCGGGGATGCTCCGGCACGCGGTGATCCAACCCGGGCCGACGTGGATAATCTTCGCGAGGGACATGACGATCAAGCTGAAGGACGAGCTGGTGGTGATCCACCCTTTCAAGACGATCGACGGGCGGGGCGTGGACGTCCACATCGCCGGGGGGCCGTGCCTGAACGTCCACGCCACGCACAACTTCATCCTGCACGGGGTGAGCATCCACGACTGCCAGGTGGGGGGGAACGAGAGGATCGGGGATGCGGGGTTTTTCCAGAGGTCGGACGGGGACGGGATTCAGGTGTTCCAGTCGTCCGACGTCTGGATAGACCACTGCTACTTCTCCAACGCCGTCGACGGGCTGGTCGACGTCATAGCAGGGTCCACCGCCGTCACCATATCCAACAACCGCTTCACTGACCACAACAAAGTCATGCTCTTGGGACAATCCGATCAGGGTCATGACACCAACATGAAGGTCACAGTTGCCTATAATGTTTTTGGGGAGGGCCTTACCCAAAGAATGCCCAGGTAACTTATTAATTCCCTTTTTATTTCTTCTTTTTCTCAAAAGATATGATTTTCACTCTCTATTATATAAAAGGGAAATTTATTTAAATAGCACTAAAATATAATGACTTCCCTCGAATAACATCACATGTGTTTTTTTCTCAATGTAGCACTTTTAGTCATTATTCATTAGTCATTATTCAAGTAAATGTTCGCCATCACTGGACATTATTCTTCTATCTGGACATTATTAAGTGCTATTTAGAAAATAAAATAATTTAATTGCTATTTAGGGAAATGACTTAAGTTTTCGTGCTATTTGGTGCAAATATTTCTATATAAAAACCATTTTTAACTTTACCTTTTTACTCTATCTATCGTACCATACTTTTTTACTAATAATCTATCGATCACATCTTATTTTTAAGCATCACATTAAAAGCAAATTTAAAAAGTCAACTAAAGTTTAACCATTCCGTATTTTGGACTTTGGTCAAATTAAGAAGTGATTTCCCAAATCGAGGGAGAACTAAATTAAATTAAATATATACATGCACCTTTCATGATCTGATCTTCAAATGAATTATTACTTCTGTGGCACAAAATAGTTTCTGCCGAATTTCTTGTGCATCTCATGAAATACTTTTACTTCATCTGAAATATCTAAAATACTACCAAAAACACCATATGCCCGCAACGCAGTAGGAATAAGGAGTATGTTCACGAGAATTTAGGTGGTGATAAGTGTTTTGTGGGTTGCATGAAAAAAATGGGACGGAATTGTCTTGTGAAAAGGAGCTAGTACTACGCACCCCTTTACGAGGTTTTAGAAAAATAGATTACATTTGTTCAGAGGCCCGAGAGAAAATTGTGACTATGGCCACTTATTCCTTTCTCCTTTAAGAAAAAAAAACTTCCTTTTTACCTTAAAGTCTTTCTCATTTTAACTTTAAGGAAAATTAAGGGAGAGATATCTTTGTATTGTTGACGTGATGGGTATATTATTAGTAAAAAATATGATGTGATAGATATGATAAGAATTAGTAAAGACGAAAGTGATTTTTTAATAGAAATGAGAAGAATTTTGTGAGGCAAAAAAAAAAGAGAAAGAGTTTACAGGACGAAGTGAGTAATAAAATAAGTGGATAAAATAGGACCTCTCAACATGGACACGAAAATAGGACTTTCAATAATTTTAAAATAAAAATAAAATAAGATTTAGGTAGATATAATGCCAAAAAAATATAAAATGTCAAATGGTGGCATTACATATTGACAATAATGATATTTAGAAGATAAAAAATATGACGTCTGATTTTTGTATAAATTTAACGTTTTAATCCTAAATAGGTACTCCCTCCGTTCTTAAAAAGAGTTCTATTTTTGACCAAGTGATAAAATAAGAAAGTGTTAAACTGTAGTTAATTTCTAATTTTGTTTTTAATGTGATGGGTAAAAAAGTAAAATGTGATGGATAAATTATTAGAGAATTACTATGATGTGATAGGTAGGGTAAGAAAAAGCAGGGGTAAAAAGGGGTTTTTAATAAAAAGTGGAAGTGTTTTGTTGGAAGTGGAAAAAATGAAAGAAAAAGTGTTTTTGAGAATAGAAGTAGCTTTTTAAATTCAGTTCGAGACTGAGGTAATAGAGAAAACAAGGGGCCGAGAAATACTTATAAACTCGGATTAATTCATGGTATAAAACCTAAAATAGAACTAAAACATAGCAAAAGTACCAAAATAGGAGTTCCATATTTTTATTCTCGACATAGGAGTTCGCACTGTACATGTGCACATTACTATACTTTTTGGTAATGTACATGACCATATTTGGTAATTTAAATGCATTTTAACTGCTATTTTGGAAATAAAAATATAGAAATTTTATTTTGGTATATTTTCAATGTTTTCCTCCTACTTAGCCTTTTTTGTTGAATATTACAGCGGAAAAAATAAAATAAAATAATCCGAACTTATAAAACGTTCGGACTTTTACAACAAAAATAAAAGAAAATAAAAGGTTGGAGTCTTCGGATGCTTGAACGAACGCAAGAACACGAACGGACGGAGAGAGGAACGGCGCCGGAGCAAAGAAGGGTAAGGAAAGCGGAGTCGCCGGAGCTTTCCTTAAGGTAGTATTGCCCGCCTCCCGCACTGGCTAACGTGGGCAATCTCCTCCCAGGATAAAACCGCTTCGTGCAAGGCCTAGAGCGGTAGAATCGTGCACCGACGAACGAGAACGATGGGTGTTACTGCCGGAGAAGATGACCGGAGTTGGGGAGTTATCGGAAGTTTTGGAATGCAGAGACAGAGAGATTTTCGAGTGTGTGTTTAATCTCTGCAGCATAGCCCTATATTTATAGTAGAGCAATTTGGACCCTTTGCTGGACATCGGAGATTACGAAGAGTCGAATGACTCTTCATACGTAGTACATGCATGCTTCCATACATTAACGAAGTGTACACGCGTTTAATTCCATCTCGTAAAAAGTTAGCCCCGCCCCGCCGCAAGCGCGCCGCACCCCGCTGCGCGCACGTCAAGCCGGACGGGCGGCGGCGGCGGCGGGCGCGCGAGGAGTCCTCTTCTTGTTCCTTTCATAAGCTCAATTCAATGCCTAAGCTTAAATATGAGAATACGAAAGGTTTAGAAACCGGTGTGGGACAAAGGCATTTACTCTACCTTAGTATTCAACTTTGAGAATTAATTTCTCATTCACCCGAGCACCGTTTATGACGTGTCATATGTCAAGACGTTCGTCTTACTTACGAGATTAATCGTCCATAATTATTTTGGAAAAATAATTTTGTGGACCCTATTAAATTTATGTCCGAAAATGTCCAATTTACTTAAAATTTCCAACTTTTTTTCTAATCCATGCTTCAT